CTCTGTCCCAAAAATAAATAAACGTTGAAAAAAAAAAGAATAAACTTTTGTAAAAAAGAATCATAACAAAAATAAAGTTTATATGGAGTGGCAGAAGGCCTAGAATGGCTAACACAATATTGAAAAACAAAGTAGGAAGACTGACACTACCCAACTTCAAGACTTGTTATAAAGCTACTATAATGGAGATAGTGAGAATTGGCAAAAGAATAGATAATACCTAATAGACAGAATACAGAGCCCAGAAATAAATCCACGTAAATATAGTCAACTGATTTAAGACCAAGGAGCAAAGGCAATAAAATGGAGCAAAGATAATCTTTAAAAAAAAATTAATTAATTAATTTTGAGAGAGAGAGAGAGAGAGTTTGCACGTGCACATGCAGGGAAGGGCAGAGACAGAGGAGAGAGAATCCTAAGCAGGATCCATGCTGATGTGGGGCTCCAACCCACAAACCATGAGACCACCATCTGAGCTGAAGTTGAGTCCCATTGCTTAACCCACTGAGCTACCCAGGCACCCCAAAGATAATCTATTCAACAAATGATGCGGGGACAACTGGATATCCATATACAAAAGAATGAAGTTGGATCTCCTATCTTATACGATATACAAAGATTAATTCAAAATGGGCCAAAGGCCTAAATGTTGGAGCTGAAATTATAAAACTCTTTGAAGAAAAGAAGGTGTAGGGTAATGGTCTGGCTTGGCCAGAGGAAGTCAGCAAATCAGTGTGATGGCAGAGGCCAGGCCACAGACGTTGATGCCCCTAGGCACCCCAAGGCAGCTCTTGAAGAGCTTGGGATTTCTTACCACCAAGTTTGTGTCAATTCTGTAGGAGGCAAAAGAGGGCATGGCATGCTTGACCTCAAGCTTAGGTAGCTGACAGCCTGTGTGTTACCGCACAGGAAAATGGGTAGTGACTACTATTGGGTTGATAGGGTGGGTGTTTCCTTTTGGGGTGACAAAGATGTTCTGATATTAGATGTGGTGATAGTTGCACCTTTGTGAATATACTAAAAACCAGTGAAATGTACACTTTACAGGGGTAAAATTTATGGCATATGAATTATATAGCAATTTAAAAATTGGGGCTATAAATGAAGATCCATGGTGTTAACTTTCAATGCACACCTTCTATGTGTTGGGCACTGCAGTATTTATAAATTCTGCCTCATTGAGCTTACAGTTCGGTCAATAGTGCATATTTCACATTGATTTCACTCACTGTGTGAGTACCTACCACGTGAACCTTTCTGACATTCTGGGAGATTCCCAGAAAAATAACATCTGGTCCCTGAATACCTTATTCCAGGTATACACACAGGCGCGTCCAACAAGCTGCTATAGACAATGTTACCTAAAGTGTTAATTTCCGGCTAAAAGCCAAGGCAAAAATCTGTTACCAAGGGAAAGGGGCGCAATTTCATTAAAGGGAGAAGGGGGAAAAAAAAAAGCCTAGGCCTCCATGATGGGGCGGTCCCAGGAAGTGACGCCACGCTCAAGTTCCGGTTCCGCCTGTTCCGGGCCACTGGCGTATCTCGCGTAACTGCGCTGTGCACGTGTGTTGTCCGGGTTCGTGTTGCGGTAGCCATGGACGCTTTGGATCGAGTTGTGTAAGTGCGCTGGGTCCCTTCTCTTGGGGACGTTGGGGAGTGGGACTCGTGTGGTGGGGACGAGTGAAAAAAACCTCCTCTCCCTCTGGGCTACTCCTCTCGTTCCTTCCGCTGTTTGGCTTGTGGTGGGTCGATGCATCCGCTAGCCTAAGTCTCTAGCAGTGCAGCTCGCTGGGCGATGAAGTGCCGGGAAGCCCACTGGTGGGAGCTGCCAGGCGGTAACACGGAGGTGTTCGCCGCTTTTATAGCCAGTTAGAAAAGTGCTGGTTTCCCGAGAAGCGTGAGGAAGGTGGTCGAATGAATGGTTACGAGCACAAGGCCTCGGAATCTGACAGATGTAGGTGACAGTTCGGGCGCGTTCACAAAACTTTGTGACTTTAGGCCATTTAATCCCCCTAAACCTCAGTTTACTTTGTATAATAGCGTTCGTAATAATCGTACTTTATTGAACTGTGAAGATTACTGGCGAGAATGTATGTACGTAAAGCCTTTGCTACAGCACGTAGAAATGTTCGTTAGTTTTTTTGTTCCCTTGAGTTGATGTTTGTTTTAAATGCGTTCAGAAAATACTTATTGGTCTTCTGAATAGTCCTGTTATTTCTTGGGATTTGCCTGAATTAACATCTAATCGAAACAAATTCTTCTTTTAGTCATTAATTCAGAGAATTTTGTGCATCTGCTATGTATTCCTCTAGGTATGGGGACTGCAAAGATGAGTAAGACTATGATCGGATTGGGGAACAAACAGCTGATACAACATAGAAGATGTTATTTGCATTAGTTGGTTAGTGAGAAGTAATAAACCACATGAAATATAGAGCACTGTTTTTTGCCATAAGACATACTAAATATTTTTTGATTTAATAAATAATGTGTATCTTTATCAAACAGTAAGTGATTGGAAGCTTTATTTATATTGCTTAACACTTTGCAGGAGAATTTTTAAACTCTGCTTGATAAATGAAGTGTGTGTATATTGCGTTTTTCTTTTCCTGCTCAAAGTGTCCACAGGACTGAAAGGAGGATGGTGGGTCGTAGTTATTTAAGAGATGAGAAATTCTTTCAGTAGATGGCCAAGAACTGTTGGAAAAGCAAGATATAGTGGAAGCAGAACAGAATTTCTCTGAACAGAATTGTATAAAACCATTCTACTCCTGCTGTCACATCATAAAGTCAGAATAATGAATTTGTTTTCCCTTCATATTTTGCACAGTGTTTTTTAAATTTTTTTTTTTTTAATTTTGCTCATTTTGAAGATTGGCTTACTTGCAAGTTGTGTGACCTTGGCCAAATTACCTCTCTGGCTTCAGTTGCCTCAACTGTAAAATGAAGATAATAATTTTACCTGTGTGGTAGGGTCTTGGTGAAGATAAGCCTTAGTAAGGTAACTCTATAAAAGTGTCAGTCATTATTATTCCCCGTTGGCGGCAATAATGTTTGACTTTTTCAGCTGTGATGTTGGAGTGGGATAGTGTATACTTCCCGGTAGGTCTACAACCTGTAGGAAAGATAGACAATGAGTAGCCTCCCTGTGTTTGGTAACTGCCCACAGATTGATCACTAGTTGGTGTGCAATGCTTTGTGTTAGGGTAAGAGTGCTGTTTGCTCTAAGGCTGAAGGAAAAATGATGGAATAAAAATAGCAACAGTCTTCATTGAGTCTTTTTTTTTTTATGAAAGGTTTAGAGAAAAAACAGTAATAAAGGAATGTTGGTGATATTAAAAAAATGAAAGCCTTTACAAAAAATCGAAAGCTAATAAAGTTAACACTTACTTAATAGTAATAGCTGAATACCTTTTGTTAATATCTCCCTAAAAAGTGAGATTTTTGTTTAGTGGTGGAATCCTAACTGATAAATGTTATGTAATATTTGTTGATTTTTAAGAATTTGCATGTTAGTAAAGTCATGATTTTGTACTATGAGGAAAATGTTTTAAGTTGTTACAAATTGTGATTTTCCAAACAGAAAGCCAAAAACGAAACGAGCCAAGAGATTCCTTGAGAAGAGAGAACCGAAACTTAGTGAAAATGTTAAAAATGCTATGCTGATTAAAGGGGGAAATGCAAATTTACTGGTGACACAAGTACTTAGAGATGTGGTATGTATATAATAATTTTTTTATTTTTATTTTTGAAAGGTTTTATTTTTTAAGTAATCTCTACACCCATTGTGGGGCTCGAACTTACAACCCTGAGATCAGGAGTAGCACACTTTACTGACTGAGCTGGTCAGATGTCCCTATACACTTATTTTTTAAATGGTATTGGAATCATTTTAGGAAATTTTCAGCATACAAGTTTGGGCTGCTGGATACGTGGATAAGTTTGCCTTGCCTTAGAAAAAAGCTCAAGTTGGAGATAATTTGCCATGGCAAGACACTATCCACTGGTTTTCCTTAAAGCAACTACTGTTATTCCTTTTGTAAATTTGAACTGATTTCAATGACTGGACTTTGGTTTACCCACATTTAAGGAACATCTCTAGTTTGTAAAGTGAAATAACTGCATATCACTATCTGTTTATTCCGTCAGCAACGCCAAGCACTGCGCTAGGTGCTGAGGATTAAGAGTTACATAAGACACGTCTGTCCCTTCAGTGAGCTTAATGAGGGAGACAGGCAAATAAGAAATTATAACACTGAATTAACTGCTGTGCTGGAGGCATGTAGAGGCTAGGATAGGAGGCAGTTAAAATCCCATAGGGGTAGCCATACACAGAATGGGCTTCCCAGAGGAGACACTTCATTTTGAAGGAGGAGTCAGAACAAGGAGGAGGAGAGGAAGAGAAGCAGAAAGTCTTCCAAGGTTGAGGAAAAAACTTGTGCAAGAGGGAACGTGAAGGAGCATATGATGTGTTTGGGGAACTGCAAATAATTGGGGATGGCTAAAGGAAAGTGGGCTTGATGGAGCTAGAAGAACATGCAGGGATCAGGTAGCAACACGGAGTTTGAGCTTTGTTGTAAAAGATCTGAGGAACCACTGAAAGATTGGAGGTGGCAGGTATGATCAGTCCTTTTAATCAGTTTGACCAGGGAAAACTGAGAGCAAATGTAGCAACTGATTCAGCCATTGTTTTCAGCCGGGTAATGAGTATCTGGAATGTGGTGGTGCCAGTGAAAATGAGAGATCATCAGAGAGACTAGATGATGAGGGTAGAAGAGTTTGGGCATGAGTAAGAAGTATGAACTTCCCAGGTTTCTGGGTTGGGTTCTTCATAAGTGATAATGGCAAGTAGAGAATATGTCATGTGGAGCAGGTTTGAAGAGAAAAGTAATATGTTCAGTTCAGGGCCTATAATATAAGTGATGAAGTTAAAAGCTTTATGTTTTTCCTACCTATGTAGCCTCATGTCTAGCCCTTTGTGTGACACACAGTAGGTGCTCAGTAAATATTTAATCAGTGAATGAAGGGCATAGTCCATGGAGATACCTAGTAAGTGGCTGATTATTTAGGCCTTGGATACAGCAGATAGATCCTTTGAGTTAAATCAATTAAATAATTGATTTTTAAACTTGACTAAACTGTTGACGTTTGTTAAACACAATAGTCAGTTCAGATAGCTGAATAATCTAATACATGCTCATCCTTCTCAGTGTCATTGTGTTGATAGGATTCTGGCCCTGTATTTAAGTAAGTTCCAAGAATAGCACAATGTTACAGGTTATTACAGTAGTTAACATTCATATTGATGATTCTTGAGTTGTCACTGTGCTAGTGTGCATTACACCAAGGCAGGGAAATAATTGGTCAAGAATTACCAAAAAGTTTTCCTACTGAAGGGGTGCCTGGCAGGCTCAGTCAGAAGAACATGCGACTCTTGATCTTAGGGTCATGAATTCAAGCCCCAGTTTGGGTGTAGAGATTACTAAAACAAATAAATAAACTTAAAAAAAGAAAAAAAAAGTTTTAGTACTTAAAAGATAGGTTTTACTGCTGGATTTCCTTTATCTATCAGCTCTGATAGTCATTTTCCTTTTCATTGTTTCCCTCATTTACTCCTTTCCCTAATGTAAGGTAATGCCTTAGATCTTTGTTATTCCTTATAGTAGAGCAGAACTGATCATACTGGTAACAACTGATTATTAGTGGATGAGTGGAAAGAAATAAGAAAAAAATGAAAAGAGGGCTGAACGACAGGAACTTAAAAAAAAATTTGTTTTTAATGTTTATGTTTGAGAGAGAGGTACAGCGTGAGCGAGGGAGGGGCAGCGAGGGAGGCACAGAATCTGACACAGGCTTCAGGCTTCGAGCTGTCAGCACAGAGCCCGACACGGGGCTTGAACTTGCCAACTGTGAGATCATAACCTGAGCTGAAGTTGGACACTCAACCAACTGAGCCACCAAGTGCCTCGACAGGAATTTTTTAAAGGGCTGAATTTAAAAACTGTAGTTCTTATTGTCCTCATTGTAACTGTTTCTCAGCTCTCTCATCTCCAGATAACATTATTTCAATTCTGTCAGCTTTTCTTGATAGGTTTTATTTATTTATTAAAAAAATGTTTTTAATGTTTATTTATTTTTGAGAGAGAGAGAGAGACAGAACTCGAGCAGCGGAGGGGCAGAGAGAGAGGGAGGCACAGAATCCGAAGCAGGCTCCAGGCTCTGAGCTGTCCGCACAAAGCCTGACATGGGGCTGGCTCAAACCCACGAACCATGAGATCATGACCTGAGCCAAAGTCAGACGCTTAACTGACTGAGCCATCTAGGTGCCCCGATAGGATTCGTTTTTATCTGCTTTCTTTTGCTTTTCTTTCTACTCTCAAATTGTTTTCCTGGAAAGAATAGAATAGGTAGAATTTAAAGAAATGAAAGAAATCATTTAAGTTGGATAGATTTTTGAAAGGGCATAGAAACTTTTTTTTTTTTTTTTGAGAGACAGGGCACAAGTGAATGAAGGGCAGGGGAGTAGAGAGAGAGAGAGAGAGAGAGAGAGAGAGAGAGAATCCGGGGGGTGGGCAGAGAGTCGGAAAGAGAGAGAAGTGGGGTTCATGTTTTTACCTGAAGTGGGGCTTATATTCACATCAAGTGGGGGCTTGAGCTCACCTGATGTGGGACTGGAACTCCTGAATTGTGAGATCATGACCTGAGTCAAAGTCAGATGCTTAATCGACTGAGCCACCCAGGTGCTCAGGGCATAGAAACTTTTAATTGGGAAAGTGTAGTCTAAGTCAGAATATTAAGCTTATGTTACAGGTTTAGATAAGTGATCAAAAGAGAGCCAAGCAGAAGACTTCAGAATAGGATTCAGGGACCAGGTAATCTTGTATAATGACTGATATAATACAATTTAATTTTTATCTCTGCTTTTCAGAATGTAATTTATTTTGAAAACTAAATTATGTTTTACAGTATGCATTGAAAAAACCATATGGCGTTCTGTATAAAAAGTAAGTAGTGATTTATTTTAACTCCTATTCTGTTATAAAAGTAATAATTACTTTATGGGAGATTTAGAAAAATACTTTGTTTAAGAAATATGACAGGGACGCCTGGGTGGCTCATTTGTTTAAGCAACCAACTCTTGGTTTCAGCTCAGGCCATGATCTCACGGTTTGAGCTTGCTTGGGATATTCTCTCTCTCTCTCTTTCTCTCTCTCTCTCTCTTTCTTTCTCTCTCTCTCTTCCCCCTCTCCCCCCTCTCTCTCCCCCTCACCTCTCCCCCCCTCCTTCCTCCTCTCTCTCCCCCCCTTCTTCTCTCTGTCTCTCTTTGCCCCTCCCCGCTCATGGGCACTGTCTCCCTCTCTGTCTCAAAAACGAATAAACGTTAAAAAAAAAAAAAAAAGAAAATGACAGTTCCTTAAATACAGCTATTAACATTACTTATTTATTTCATCTATTTATGTTTTTAAATTTTTGAACATTTATTATTTGAGAGAGAGCGCATGCATGTGCACACATGCATGTGAGCAGGGGACGGGCAGAGAGAGGAAGAGAGAGAGAGCGTGCATCCCAAGCAGGCTCCTCAGTATCAGCATGGCCTGACTTGGGGCTTGAATTAATGAATTGTGGGATCATGACCTGAGCCAAAATCAAGAATTGGATACCTAATTGAGCCACCCTGGAGCCCCTATTTTTTTATTTTTTATCATTAGTATTTTTAAAACTTATTTCTTTCTAGTTTGTGTTTTCATTTGTATGAATATTCTTGCATGGTTGTAATCTTATCATATGTATATTATTTTGAGTGATTATAGATTTAAAGAAAAGTTGCAGAAATAGTAGAGTTCTCATATACCCTTCATCCAGCTTCTCTTAATGTTATGTTTTATGTAACCATAGTACAATTATCAAAAGTAAGAAATGAACATTGGTACAATAATGTTTTAACTGCACTATAGACTTGACTTGTTTCACCAGTTTTTCCAATAATATCCTTTTTCTCTTCCAGGATCCTATATTGCATTTAGTTGTCATGTCTCCTTACTCTCCCATTTGTGACAGTTCCTCAGTCCTTCCCTTTTTGATGACTTTGACGTTTTTGATGAGTACTTGTTAATTATTTTGTAAAATATACCTCAGTTTGTATTTGTTTTACATTTCTCATGAATAGATTGAGCCTTATGTGTTTTTGGCAACGGTACCACAAAAGTGATGTGCTTTTCTCAATAAATGATACCAGGGATGTCTTATGTTGGTAGCATTAACCTCGGTTAAAGTGATGTCTGCTTGGTTTCTCCACTAGAAATTTACTATTTTTCCCTTTGTAACTAGTAAATGTTTGGAGGAAATATTTGGAGACTGTGCAAACACTGTGCAAATAATCCTCTTTCTCCTCACACTTTTGCTTATTAATTTTAGCATGCATCAGTGACTGTTTTCTACATAGGGGATTACTCTTGGTGTTCTAATGGTGGTTTTCTGTCTCATTCCTTCTACATTTATTAATTGGAGTTTTGTAAGGAAAATCTCTCTCTTTGTTGAATTACTCATTTATATTAGTGTGGACTTACAGATACTTATTATATTCTTTGAGTTATAATCCAATGCTGTCACTATTTTGTTGCTCAAATTATTATACCTTTTGCCATTAAGATCTCTTTCAGGGTGGCTCCTATGTTCTTTCAACATGCCCCTTGTGTTTAAGTCCTCCTTTTTGGTGCCACACGATGCTCCAAGCTCATCTTGTATTTTAAAGCTCTGGAATCAATCCCTTCTCTGTGGAGCCCTGTTTCCATATATCGGGGGCTGGTAATTTAGAAAACAGAGATCTGGGCACAAAAGTATGCTTAGTTGCTACAGAAGTGTCATTGTCTCTAGATCCTCTTAGCAGACAGACCTTGAAAATAAGTATTATGCATGTTAACCCATGCATACATGTACATCTAATTTAATTTTATGTATTTAAAAAACTGAATTCATACTGATACTTCCTAAAAAAATCATGAGTTTTTTTTTTTTAATTTTTTTTCAATGTTTTTTATTTATTTTTGGGACAGAGAGAGACAGAGCATGAACGGGGGAGGGGCAGAGAGACAGGGAGACACAGAATCGGAAACAGGCTCCAGGCTCTGAGCCATCAGCCCAGAGCCTGATGCGGGGCTCGAACTCACGGACCGCGAGATCGTGACCTGGCTGAAGTCGGACGCTTAACCGACTGCGCCACCCAGGCGCCCCAAAATCATGAGTCTTAATACTACTTCCAATTCTAGTCCAGTGCCACAGACTTCATTCCAGCCTTTCTTCTTTTCTTATTTGTAACTTTGCTTCTTCTGACAGTAAGAAACCTGGCTTTCATGATTGATAATATGTTTATTGATTTGTAGGTTTCTAGTACGTGCATACTTTCAGAATGTCTAACCCTGTGAGAAACAAAATTACTAAAGTATAGAATGTGTGTACAGGTCTTTGTCTTTAGCCTTAGGGTGTCCAGTTCAAACACTGTTTTCAAATGTAACTTAGGTTGGGTTTTTTTCTGCCTCTTTAATGTGATTGTATTATTACTTTATTTATTTTTTTAATTTTTTTTAATGTTTTATTTATTTTTGAGACCGGGAGAGACAGAGCATGAACAGGGGAGGGTCAGAGAGAGGGAGACATAGAATCTGAAACAGGCTCCAGGCTCTGAGCTGTCAGCACAGAGCCCGACGCGGGGCTCGAACTTACGGACCGCGAGATCATGACCTGAGCCAAAGTCGGCCGCTTAACCAACTGAGCCACCCAGGCGCCCCCATTGTGTTATTACTTTAAACTACACTTAGGGTCATTTATTAGATTGTATTCTATTTTGAGTTTTTCTCCACTTTTCTCTCGGTTGTTTGAATTTAAGTATGTAAAATTTACTCTTTGTGGTGTACAGTTTTATGAGTTTTTAAAAATGCATTGAGCTGTGTCTGCCACATGATATGGAAACAGTCATGATACAGAAACAGTATCATTATCCTAAAAATTTCTTTGTGCAGTGCTCTTGAGGGCCACTGTTTCCCTTCCCCCCTGTAACCAGTGAACTGTTTGCTATCCTTATAGTTTTTCCTTTTTTAGCATGTTACATAAATGGAATCATACAACACATAGCCTCAGAGTCTATCTTCTTTCTTTAGCAAAATAATAAAATATTATCTGTGTTTTTGCCATACATTATATTTAAAAAAAATTTTTTTTTTTAAACGTTTATTTAGTATTGAGAGACAGACAGCATGAGCAGGGGAGGGACTGAGAGATGGAGAGACACAGAATCTGAAGCAGGCTCCAGGCTCTGAGCTGTCAGCACAGAGCCCAGCGTGGGGCTTGAACCCACAAACCGCTAGATCATGACCTGAGCCGAAGTCAGACGCTTAACCAACTGAGCCACGCAGGCACCCCAACATACATTACATTTTATATCAAGCCTTTTTCATTTATATTATAAACATTTTTCTTAATTTTTTTTTAAATGTTTATGTGTTTTTGAGAGAGATGGAGAGAGAGTGCGAGCAGGGGAGGGGCAGAGAGAGATGGAGACACAGAATATGACGACAGGCTCCAGGCTTTGAGTTGTCAACACAGAGCCCAACATGAGGCTCGAACTCACAAACCGTGAGATCATGTCCTGAGCAGAAGTCGGATGCTTAACTCACTGAGCCACCCAGGCGCCCCTAAAATTTTTCTATTAGTAGGTGATCCTTTAGGTATTCTTTTTTTTTTTTTTAATATTTATATTTGAGAGAGAGAGAGAAAGAGAGCGTGCAAAAATTGGGGGAGGGACAGAGAGAGAGAGAGGGAGACAGAGGATTCATTACAGGTTCTGTGCTGGCAGCTCAGAGCCTGATGTTAGGGCTTGAACTCACGAACCCTAAGATCATAACCTGAGCCAAAGTTGGACACTTAACGGACTGAGCCACCCAGGTGCCCTAGGTATTATTTTCATTGCCAATATAATATCTATTAAATGGTTATACTAAAATTTATTTACAACTTACCTTAATTTTATGGTTTTTGTGTTTTTGCTATTCTTATAAATTTTAGCAATTTTATTGCTAAAAATGTAGGTTTTTCTTTTTTGCTATTCTTATAAATTATGCTAAAATGGCCATTTTTACACAAATGAATTATCCTTTTGAATTAATTCCTATGTGAGATTTCTAGACATGAGATTACTTCATGCCCAATAAAGCATATTAATTACTACTTTTTGGAAAGGTTGTCCTTTTAGCAGAGTGCAATATACAAGTTTCATAGACCATTACCCACTTTTTATGTTTTTAAGCTAAGAAGTCAAAATCATACTTTGTGTAACTTGCATTTTCCATGTTTTCAGCAGGTCATATTTGCTTATTTGTGATTTATAGTTAGCTGATGGTTGTTAATCATAAATGCTGCAGTAGTTTTTCTTAGTTTGTTTGCCTTGCATCTTTAAAAATAATACTCTTTTTGGGGCACCTGGGTGGCTTAGTCAGTTGAGCGTCCCACTTCGGGTCAGGTCATGTCTCGCGGTTTGTGAGTTCGGCCTGCGTCGGGCTCTGTGCTGACAGGTCAGAGACTGGAGCCTGCTTCAGATTCTGTGTCTCCCTCTCTCTCTGCCCCTCTGCCACTCACACTCCATCTCTCTCTCCTTCAAAAATAAATAAACATAAAAAAAAAATTCTTTTTTTACTGATTATAAAAGTAATACATGCTACTCTTAGATAATTGGGATAATAGAATAATCACCCATAGCACTATGTACATTCTGACATGTTTTCCCTGTGTATATACATATTTAATTGGTTTTATTTGAGTATGGTTGACACACAATGTTACATTAGTTTCAGGTGTAAAACAGTGATTTGACAAGTGTCTCCATTATGCTGTGCTCATCATAGGTGTAGCTACCATCTGTCATTATTATGTTATTGTCTATATTCTTTATGCTGTGTCTTTTATTCCCATGTCTTATTGATTCCATAACTGGAAGCCTGTATCTCCCATTCCCTTCACCCATTTTTACATGTGTACAGATATTTTCATGTCTGTATGTTTATTTTATTCTTTGAACAAAATTAAGATCATGTACATAGATTTTGCTTCATAAAAATTATGAACTATTTTATGGAAACTTCATTTACATGATGAGAAATCAGAGATTATAAGTGAACACATATAGTTTCTTATGTTTTACCAGAATTTCTTTATGCATATTTAAGCAAAGAAAAATATACGTATTTCTCTCCCTTTTGCATGAAAGATAGCATGTTCTACTCCAGCTCCCCTACTAGTGTTCTTGGTCCAATACACCATTTATTTCTTTCTCTCCTGGATTACTGTGATAGCTTCTTGCTAATTCTTTTCTCTCTTGCCATAACTACATTCCCTTTTCACATAGTGGACAGAATAGTCCTTTAAAAAGAAAATTTGAGGGGTGCCTGAGTGGCTCAGTCAGTTGAGCATCCAACTCTTGATTTTGGCTCAGGTCATGATCCCAGCGTCGTGGGATTGAGCCCTGCATCAGGCCCTGTGCTGAGCGGGGAGCCTGGTAGAGATTCTCTAAAATAAAAAAAATTTAAAAACGATTATGATTTTAAAAAAGTAGTAGTAAAAAGAAAATTTGAGTTCAGTCATGTCACTCTCCTGCCTGAAACTCTTTAGTGCTTCCTGTTACTATATTAATATTTACATTCCTTACCTTGACCAACAAGGCCTTACCTTAACCAACATAATCTGGGCCATGCCTACATCTTTGACCTCATGCCCCGCCATTTTCCCTTTGCATGCTAAGCTTCGGTGATACTTGCCTTCTTTCCATTTCTTGAATAGTCTAAGCTTGTTTCCATCTCAGAATCTTTGCTTATTGTGTTCCTTCTTCCTAGAATACCCTTAGCCTCAAAACTTTAAAAAAAAAAAATGTTTATTTATTTTGAGAGAGAGAGTGTGAGTAGGGGAGGGGCAGAAAGAGAGAGAGAGAATCCCAAGCAGGCTCTATGCTGAGTGGGGCTCAAACCCACAAACCATGAGATTATGACCCGAGCCAAAATCAAGAGTCAGACGCTTAACTGACTGAGCCACCCAGGCACCTCAACCTCAAAACTTTTCAATGGCTTATTCTTTATCTATCACATCTCAGCTCAAATAGTCATTTTCCACTGTTCATAACTAACACAATACCCTATTTTATTTTTGTCACTACAGTTAATTATTGTTTGAAATTTTTATTTTTCCACTAGAATGTAGGCTGTATGAAAGCAAAGATCTTGTTTGTTTCCTAGTATCCTTAGCTCATACCACAGTGAGTGACACATAATAGGCACTAAATACATATTTGAATGAATGAATATCCCTCTAACTTTATTTTTGATCATCTACAAAATTATCTTTTTTTAATATATTACTTAATTGTTATGGGTGAATTGCTAATTAAGATTATTAAAATTAAGGTAATCTTTTAAAAATATTTTTAGGAAAAACATTACAAGACCATTTGAGGATCAGACATCATTGGTGAGTACAAGAAACTCTGATTTAAGACAGCATATACATGATTGGACTAATTACTGTTCCTTTAGTAATTTGTGATGTTTTGAATTCGAAATCATCCTATATGAGGGAATTTTGATGTAAAGTGAAAGTGAAGTAAGATTTATTAACTTAATTTTTAAAGTTTATTTATTTTGGGGGGCAGGGTGGAAGGGCAGAGTGAGCAGGAGAGCGAGAGTCCCAAGCAGGCTCCCCACTGTCAGCACAGAGCCCGATGCAGGGCTGGAACTCCCGAATCAGGAGGTCATTACTTGAGCCAAAGTCAGATGCTTAACCAACTGAGTCATCCAGGCGCCCCTGTTTGTTTATTTTTGAAGTAAGACTTTCATACTTTTAAAACTATGACTAAAGTTTAAAGTTTATTTTGAGAGAGAGGAGAGAGCATGTGCATGTGTGCATGAGCAGGGGAGGGGCAGAGAGAGAAGGAGAGAGAAAATGCCAAGCAGGCTCCTTCACTGTCAGCGCTGAGCCGGATGTGGGGCTCAGTCCTATGAACTGAGATCATGACCTGAGCCAAAAGCAAGAGTTGGACATTTAACCAACTGAGCCACCCAGGTGCCCCCAGAATACAGTTCGTAAAGTTCTTATATTTATGCATTAATTGGGATTTCTTTGGTTTTATAGGAATTCTTTTCAAAGAAGTCAGATTGCTCTTTATTCATGTTTGGCTCCCATAATAAGAAGCGGCCAAATAATCTAGTAATAGGTAAATATAATTTACTTTCCTAATGTTTGTGTTTACAGTCTGTTTTGTGACTCAGATTAATTGATGGTGTTGAGATTTCAGGAGTAACAAGTAAGCTCTAAGCTGGTTTTTAAAAATTTTTCTTGTGCCTTTGAATGAAATTTTTAATCTATCAGACTGCAGGTAGAGAATAGGCATGTAAAAATACTACTTTACCAAAAGTTGCCAATATTTTTCTAATATAAAATATATGTATCTTAAATCAGTGTTAGAGAAAAAAACAGTAGCATACCTACCCACAAAAATTAACCCTTCACCAGTAAGAATTGACGTTTAATTTGGTATCGTCATTGGCTTAGGCAACCCCTTTTACTTCTTATGTGCCTTTATTTACTGTTCTATAAAATAAGGGAGTTTGGTTAAACGATTTCCAAGATCCTTTCAGGGCCAAGACTGCAACACTGTATTCTAGGTAGAGTTGAAAGTTTAAGAAAGAAGGGGACATGTTTGATGGGGTAAAAGGAGAAAAAAAAAAAGGGAGATAATAACATTTTGGACATGCAAATTAAGTGGGTACATATAAGGTGGCTCTTTGGGAAAAATAAATGTTTAAAAGAAAATGTATTTTCCTTCTAGGTCGTATGTATGACTTCCACGTGCTCGATATGATCGAATTAGGTATTGAGAAGTTTGTCTCTCTAAAAGACATCAAGGTACGGTACTAAACATAAAAATAAAAGCATTTTGTAATGTTGTTCTTGGGCAATAGTGACATCTTGTGGTGAAGAGTACTATTACAGTTTGTAGCTTAACTTTGTTTTTATTCTAGTGTGCTCGGAGATAAAAGTAAATTTCATTTTATCTTTATGTTTTTGAGTGTCACTGCTTTATTTTGGTGTAAAGACAGGAAGCTGGAAAATACACTATATTTAAAATTTTTTGTTCCTTTTCATGCTGTGGAAACTCCCTCATTTTATTTTTACTTTAAAAAGAGATATAAACATATAACACATATTTGGATCTTCTGGCAGTTAGATTCAGAGTGGTTTTTAACTCTTGTCTAGGCTCATAGTTTAAATGCTATCCTCTCCCTCAATTGTCACAGCACCTATTTTATGGAACCTCAGAAATACTGGAGTTTTCTGGGGCATCTGGGTGGCTTAGTCAGTTAAGTGTCTGACTTTGGCTGAGGTCATGGTCTCGCAGTCCATGGGTTCGAGCCCCGCGTCGGGCTCTGTGCTGATAGCTCGGAACCTGGAGCTGGCTTCAGGTTCTGTCTTCCTCTCTCTCTGCTCCTCCCCCACTGGTACTCTGTCTCTTTCTCAAAAATAATAAACATTACAAAAATTTTTTTAAATAAATACCAGAGTTTGAAAGCGAGCCTTGTTCTAAACCTACGATACTTTGGCTGCTCCTACAGTATTTTGGCTGCTGGCCACCAAAATGCTAGTTCAATCTTTCCCTTCAGGACTTGCATCTTTGTATCTCCTTTGTTTGCATGGGATTATTAAATAGAAAGTAGTAAATAGGCAAGAAAACTGTCCTAATTTAGCTCCTGGGTCCAAACTGGGCTTCTGTTCTCTCAGAACTCTACTTTAGCAGAATCTGTTCCATCAAATGTTCCATCAAGTAATTATTTTATTTAGATTTCATTGCTACCCTGTGTAAGGCTAAAATTACTTTTCCTATTGGATAAAGTTGGAGATTGAGGCCCAGGGGAATTTCATTGGTGATCTGGAGTCATACATATAGAACTTAGAAAGAAAGGATATTGAAGTTTGCAGTGGAAAGTTACTTAATTGTTCTTGTTTATGGGTCTTTGAAGGTCATGGTATAGTTGAAAGAATTGTAAAATGTGTCATGACTCCTTTTCCTAGTCTCCCCTAAAAAGAGGACATGCCTTCCAAGTTTGTTGTGTGTTTGCAAAAAGGCTCTTCCCAGATGTTACTTAGCTACACCAGCTTCTTCAGGTACAGGGTAGAACAGTGGCCTGAGATTGGATTTCGAGACAGAACAATTGGATTGAAGGCCTGTGTTGGCCATTTAGATGACTTTTGTGACCTGATAAATTACTTGCCTGACCTTCAGATTGCAATCAAGTATTAAATAGGTATAATAATATCAAATGAGATAATATATGTGAAAATGTTTATCAGCGAAGATAATGTTTTGGAAGGTGTTTGGTAAAGTATGTAAACTGTGATGCCTTGTTATGGTGGAAGCTATCATTTTATTACAGTTTGTCTTTAGGGCAGTGTATGAATCCTTGGAGAGCAGCAGCATATCTGGCTTGGTCACCAGGTAGTGGGTGTGAGCACTGGTCGATGCACGCATGCTAGCCCTCGGTAGCTTCTATAACCACCAGGTCATAAGACCATTATCGTTTGTCAGGTCTCACGCTTGTTCACGCTTAACAAGCGTGAATACTAAATTTTCACTCATGGAGCATATCCATAACTATAATAATCACTAATTCATGACCATATGCTTACATTGGCAGTCCCTACCTACACTGTTAGCCAGAGCTTCACTTTTACCTCGTTATTCCATTACAACTTGTTTTTAGTTTGTTTTGGAATTGCATGTCTGTTATACTTTCTCTTTATATTTATTTCTTTTCTGCGTCTACCTCCTTATTTTTAAGACCTCTTCGCCAGATGTTTCTTTTCTCACTTGCCTACTTTTATTGCCAAGCCAAGCCTCATCCTCCTGTTTACTCTTAAGTGAGAAGTGATTCAGTTCTACCAGGAAATTGAATGATTATTCTGGGAGCTTATTTTCTAAGATGTGGCCAAACTTTTAGGGATGGTTGTTTTACATAAAATAAGCCTTAATGGATGAAATGATTAAAATTTAAGGCCAATGTTGTTGTTTTTTAAATTTTTATTTACTTTTTCCAATGGTTTTATTTTAGATAGGAAAAGATACATTGCAGGCGCCTTGGAGTATTTTATTGGAAAGTTTGTTTATAATTTATAAGACATTTCTGGGGTGTCTGGGTGGCTCAGTTGGTTAAGCGTCTGCCTTTGGCTCAGGTCATGATCTCACGGTTCATGAGTTTGAGCCCCACATCGGGCTCTCTGTGGTCAGCACAGAGCCTGCTTCACATCCTCTGTCCCTCACTTTCTTTGCCCCTCCCCCCACTCCCTCTTTCTCTCTCAGAAATAAATACACTTAAAGAAAAGAATTATTTCCTTTCTTTCCCTTTGTTTTAAAAAAAACTTAATTCAGAAATTTAGTTCAAGGACGTTACATAATTATAATGTTTTTAGTATACTATATGACAGTACTTATGTAATATTTTGAATTTTTAGTGCCTTTTAGATAATTCAAATAAAGCTCATCTGTTGTAGTTTCTTCTAGTTCTGGGTTTACACATTGTGAAAAATATCAGTGACCTACGTGTTAAATACTGTTTCACGTAACTTGTTCAGTTACATATATATATATATATATATTTAAAAAAAAATTTTTTTTAATGTTTATTTATTTTTGACAGAGAGAGAGAGACAGAGCATGAGCAGGGGAGGGGCAGAGACAGAGGGAGACACAGAATCGGAAGCAGGCTGCAGACTCTGAGCTGTCAGCACAGAGCCTGATGTGGGGCTCGAACTCACAGACCGCGAGATCATGACCTGAGCCGAAGTCAGATGCTCAACCGACTGAGCCACCCAGGCGCCCCATTGTTCATTTATATTTTTATGATGTGTGTACTGGGTCATGACGTAACATGATATTTTTTATTATGCATTGTGGTCAGGATGTTGCTTCACTTTCTCTTACCTTCTGTGTACTTTCTTTTTAAAAAATATTTATTTTTTTTGAGAGAGGGAGAGACAGAGTTAGCAGGGGAGGGGCAGAGAGAGAGAGAGAGAGAAAAGGAGACACAGAATCTGAAGCAGGCTCCAGCTTCTGAGCTGTCCACACAGAGCCTGATGTGGGGCTCGAATCCACAAACCATTAGATCATGACGTGAACTGAAGTCTGGCGCTTAACCAACTGAGCCACCCAGTGCCCCATTACCTTCTGTATACTTAAATAGCCTCAATAGACCTAGGGGTAGCAGCAGCAGGGTCAGGGAGGCACAGATGGAACATGGAAGAGTCATTGGGTCTGGAAGGTCCATTCACGCCCTAGAGGCACAGATCTTAGGTACACCTCCTAAGTAGAGACAGTTAAGGTTCAGAGTTAGGAAGCAGAGACTGTCAACAAGAGTGAACAGGAAGAGGCAACAGGTGACCTCTGGTCCTAGGGCAGAGGATATTTGTTTTCTTGTCCTGTTTTTTGTTTGTTTGTTTGTTTGTTTGTTTGTTTCTAGATGTGTACAGTCCTTGATTGATACCAAAATAGAGGTGCTAGAATCAATGGGAAGCTCAGACTAACACTTGTTCACTGTCATAAATTAATCATTCAGTTAAAGAGTTCTATTAGATTTTTTTCTTTTATTTTGGTGGCTTTTAAAGGTTATTATTATTCACATCACATTCTTCTTTGTATGGAAAATCCAGAACTGGACAAAATACTTTTTTTAGTGAGAGCCTCAACCATGCTGAGTAAGGATTGCCCATACATTCTATAGCTTGTATAAAATTCTCTTGTTTCCTATGTTACTGTGGAGTTGGTAGTTTAATCTGGCTTTCATTTAAATACTGTTTATGTGACACAGTAGGAAAGGCACAGTGGTAGTAAATGATTTAAAGAAATTAAATTTGTTTAGACTCTGAGATGTCGGTTGTTAAAAGGCTGTGTATGTTTTGCAGCAATTTTAGCTTTTTATTCTTTGTACAGAATAACTTTAAAAAATAGCTTACATCATTCTTTGACCACTTATTAATTTGGTGATATGAAGGGAGTGGAACAAAAAATATTTTTTTAGTTTAAAAGTTGCAACTGTAGTTTTAAATCTTTAGATTTTAATCAGTATTCATAAATATAGTTTTAGGACAGTTAAAATATGAAAACTAATCACTGTGTAAGAATTGACTACTTTATTTTTATTTATTTATTTATTTTTTTAAACATTTATTGATTTTTGAGACAGAGAGAGACAGAGCATGAACCGGGGAGGGTCAGAGAGAGGGAGACACAGAATCTGAAACAGGCTCCAGGCTCTGAGCTGTCAGTACAGAGCCCAGCATGGGGCTTGAACCCACAAACCGCTAGATCATGACCTGATCCGAAGTCAGCCGCTTAACCGAATGAGCCACCCAGGCGCCCCAGAATTGACTACTTTAAAATCAACTTATAAATAGTTTAGAATTGATAATTTTATAATTATAATTTTTTTTCTGTTTCATAGAATAGTAAATGTCCTGAGGGAACAAAACCCATGTTAATATTTGCTGGTGATGATTTTGATTTAACAGAAGACTACAGAAGGCTAAAAAATCTTCTTATTGGTAAGTATTTTAATACTTCTCCACACGTTTGCTCAAGTAGGCAATCTAAGACTGTCATTGGTGGCACTTTGCCACTTCACTGTATATATACATCTTTTTCTTTTTGATCTCTTTCCTTTCTTCCCCCCTTTTCATTATTTTCTTTTAAAAAAAAAAATTTTTTTTTTATTTTTTTTTTTTGAGGTGGGGGTGGGGACAGAGAGAGAGGGAGACAGAATCCAAAGCAGGCTCCAGGCTCTGAGCTGTCAGCATAGAGCCCAACGTGTGGCTTGAACTCACGGACCACGAGATCATGACCTGAGCCGAAGTTGGACGTTTAACCAACTGAGCCACCCAGGCACCCTTTCATTATTTTCTTTATTCCCCACTAGCAGTAAGGGAGAGTTAATGGATGTTATAATGCATTGATCATTTTTATTTTTTGATGCTCTAGTAACTTCATTGTCAACCTATATATGAAACATTTTACACTTTATAAAATGCTTCCACCCATTTTATGTCATTATTGGCATCATTAAATTTAGAAAATTAAGAACTTAAATTTTCAAGACTGTTGTACATCATCCACTTCCAACTCAAAAACGTCTATTTTTCTTAGTCTTGATAGGCAAGACATTATCTCTCCCAATTTCCTTCCTCTTTTTTCCATTTAAAGTGGCTTATTAAAAATACATTGTACACATTCCTATTGTCTTTTCTGATTTTTGTTCTTGTTTACCTAGTTTCTTCCATTCTTGCAAGTTTCAGATCAAGTTTCTTTCCCAGAAAACTTTCAGTGACTTCCCAACAGCTTTTTTTTATTATCCTTAATGATCGATCCTAAATGCCAAGCATATACTAGGTGCTTTATATGTATTGTTTTATTCTCACAACCTTGTAAGGTTGTCTTATAGATGAGTTATTCTTGGTGAACTACACTAGTTCCTAAGGACTTATGTGATGACTACATCCTTTCCTATGTGTTCACAAGTCCCCTTCATTTTTTTTTCATTTTTTTTTTTAATGTTTAATTTTGAGGGGGGCGCAAGGGGCAAGGAGAGAGGGAGACACAGAATTCGGAGGCAGGCTCCAGGCTCTGAGCTGTCATAACAGAGCCTGACACGGGGCCCAAACTCATGAACCACAATATCATGACTTGAGCCAAAGTCGGATGTTTAAGAAAGCCACCCAGGCGCCCCTATTAATTAATTAATTATCTATCTATCTGTTTATCATCCAAGTTAGTTAGCATATGAATGCAACAATGATTTCAGGAATAGATTCCTTAATGCCTCTTACCCATTTAGCCCATCCCCCCTCTCCCAGCCCCTCCAGTAACCCTGTTTGTTGTCCATATTTAGGAGTCTCTTATCTTTTGTTCCTCTCCATGTTTTTATATTATTTTTGCTTCCCTTATGTTCATCTGTTTTGTCTCTTAAAGTCCTCATATTAGTGAAGTCATATCGTGTTTGTCTTTCTCTGACTAATTTCGCTTCTCATAATACCCTCTAGTTCCATCCACATAGTTGCAAATGGCAAGATTTCATTCTTTTTGATTGCCGAGTAATACTCCATTGTATATATATATACCACATCTTTTTTATCCATTCATCAGTCCATGGACATTTGGGCTCTTTCCATACTTTGGCTATTGTCCATAGTGCTGCTATAAACATTGGGGTGCATGTGCCTCTTCGAAGCAGCATACCTGTATCCCTTGGATAAGTACCTAGTAGTGCCATTGCTGGGTAGTAGGGTAGTTCTATTTTTAATTTTTTGAGGAACCTCCATCCTGTTTCCCAGAGTGGCTGCACCAGCTTGCAAATCCACCAGCAGTGCAAAAGAGATCCTCTTTCTTTGCCTTCTTTCCAACATCTGTTGTTGCCTGAGTTGTTAATGTTAGCCATTCTGACAGGTGTGAGGTGGTATCTCATTGTGGTTTTGATTTGTATTTCCCTGATGATGAGTGATGTTGAGCATTTTTTCATGTGTTGGTTGGCCATCTGGATGTCTGTTCAATTGACTTATTGCAATCTTTGCTATAGGTTCTTACCTGAATTTTTGGTGAGTTAAAAAAAGAAAATCATACATGAAAGACAATGACCAACATTTCCTTTTTTCAAAATTACATACCCCAAAATATCAAGGATGGTTTTTAGCTAAGATTACTTGTACTCCATTGGCCCAGATTTTCTGCCTTTTTCCCTCCAGTTGTTCCATAATAATTGTTAATTGTCAGTATATATTTGTTATAACAGAAGGCTTTCATTTGCTTTTGTATAATTGGTTTTTATAAAAACTTTATTATTTTGTGCTTCCACTAGAGGGCAAGAATAACCACATAATGCAGTGGTGATGGGGAGGGAGTGAAAACCAAAAAAGGAATCTGGGGAAAGAAGGAAGGTAGAGGAGTGAAGTGAGATTGTCAGGTCCCAAGGGCAGTTGTGTTTTCAATATAAATATGAAGTAAGCCAGCTGCAGACTCCATGGTGTATGTTTTGTGTTCATATGAAGTAAAGTAGAGTGGTGGGGAAAGAGAATGTTATCAAGGGCTTCCATCCTTTTAGGAAGTTCTCTTTTTTTGGTAATTGGCCAGAAAGAAAAATGAAGTTATTAACTTCAGTGTTTTTATGCCAGGTGCGCATTTAGTTCATGCCGAACTAAATTTTTTTTGCTTCTGTTTTGCTTTCTTAAATACTATCTAGATTTCTATTTAATCTTAGTGGTATTGCTTTTCCTTATAGAAAATCAGTATATCTATTTTTAGATTTAGTGCATCTTTTTTTTTTTTTTTTTTTTTTTTTTTTTTTTTTTTTTTTTTTTTTTTAATTTTGAGAGAGAGGAGTAGAGAGAGAGGGGGAAAGAGAATCCCAAGCAGGCTCCGTGATGTCAGAGCAGAGCCCGACATGGGGCTCGATCCCAAAACTGTGGGATCATGTAGGTCAGGTAATTTATTATGTTTGACTCTTTCTATAGCTTTACAAAGGCAATCATGTTAGTCTGCTTGGGCTGCTGTAAAAAATACCATGTGCTGGGTGGCTTAAAAAACAAACAGTTCTGGTGGCTGAAAGTGCAAAATCACAATTTTTGATGAGGATTCTTGCCAGGTCTTGCTTTGTGCTCCTGGCTTTTCCTTCAGGGAGGAAGGAAGGGAAGGGAAGAGAGGTGGAGGTGGGCGGGGGGGGCCAGCTTTCTAGGGTCTCTTCTTATAAGGACACTAATTCTATGGGACCAGGGTCCCACCCTTATGGCATGCCTCATTTAGTCTTAATTTCTTCCTCAGAGGCCCATCTCCAAATTCAAACACATTAGGGGTTAGGACTTTTAACATTAATTTAGAGTGGCAAGGGGGTAGGGGCAAACATTCAGTATATTATGATAATATTATTCCCATATTGTGGATGAAGAAGTTGAGGCCAATTGAAGAGCTAGTAAGTGGCAGAATCAGGATCTGCTGTGTTCTCTAACTGTGGATCCCCTGGTCTTTCCTGTCAACACATGGTAACCTTCTGTCCCCTTTCTCGATGTGTTTACTCGTGGACATAGCCACACGTGAGATCTTACTTTTACTTGGAATTGATCCACTGAAGAAAAGATCCAAGTTGGGGCTTTCCTTCTGACCATAACCAATTCATCTTCTACCTCTTCTCCACCCCCTTACTTGTATTTAACCAGGTTTTTATGTTTATCATTACTCATTAGTATCTCTCTTGTTACCTTAGCCATCATTCCTGCCCAGTTTCGGGTCAGCTTTTTTGGCAGTGTTCTGAGTTTCCACACATTTTAATTCATTGCCCCTTTGAGGTGAGGTTTCCATGTTTCAGACTCCTCTTACACATTCATTGCTCCAGCCCTGCAATCAGCTGTTTTCTTTTTTTTAATTTTTTTTTCAACGTTTATTTATTTTTGGGACAGAGAGAGACAGAGCATGAACGGGAGAGGGCGCAGAGAGAGAGGGAGACACAGAATCGAAACAGGCCCAGGTTTCTGAGCCATCAAAGCCCAGAGCGCCTGACGCTGGGCTCAACCTTCCACGCAGATCGCGGACTCCGGCTGGAAGTCGGACGCCTAACCACTGCGCGCCACCCAGCGCTTCAGCGCCGTTTTCTCTAAGCAGCCCTGAACTTTTATTTTTTAATGTTTATTTATTTATTTAGAGAGACAGTGTACACATGTGCAGAGGAGCAGAAAGAGAGGGAAAAGAGAATCCCAAGCAGGCTCTGGGCTGTCAGTGCAGAGCCCGATGTGGGGCGCAAACTCACAAACTGTGAGATCATGACCTGAGCCAAAGTCAAGAGTCTGACGCTTAACTGACTGTGCCGCCCAGGTGCCCCAACCCTGAATGAACATTTTTAAAATGAGAAATTATTTTAGAAACCACAGTTTGGGTGCCAGGGATTGTTTTGTGGTTGGTCATTGTAGGCTTTTTTAGAGAACGGAACTGTGAATTAAGATTTGTTTGTTAAGATAAAATGTATCAGAGTTCATACTGAAACTTCTAACTTAAATTTAGGACCAAAGGATCTTAACTTCATTGACTTCACATACGTACCTTCTTTCGTCCATGAAAAAAATCCAGGTTCTCAGTGATCCAACACAAGTATGCATTTCTTTTATACTGTACTACCTACCATACAGTGTTACTACTGATGATGTGAATATTGAGTGCAGTTGAAGGTTTTGTTGTGTTGTTTTTGGGGTTTTTTGCAGTTCTTTTTGTCTATAAAATGAAAGGGCGGGCCTATGCCGGCCGACTCCATCTTGTTCTGTGTCCTTCACCTAGACCACGCCTCCTTCCCTTGAGTAACCTCCCGCTCACCCATTCAAACTTCCTGATCAAAACACGCCCCTTCCCTTCCCCAGCCAATCGGCCGAGGCCACGCCCCTTCCCCAGCCAATCGGCTGCCCCTAGACCCCCTATAAAACCTTTGTGCTTTTGAAACTCGCTCTCTCTCCCTGGTATCTCACCGCTGCGTCGGTGCAGGTAGGGGATTGAGCTCGAGCTAGCTCAAATAAAGGCTCTTTTGCTTTTGCATCGGACTCGGCTCCCTGGTGGTCTTTGGGGATCACGAATTCTGGGCATAACATAAAATACATCCTGCTAAGAATATATGGTCAAATCACTGTTTTGAAGTCACTTGGAATAGTTCTTTTCTGTATGATTATGCCTTCAGTTCAGTACGCAGGTTCATTTGTTTTCAGTTTTTAGGGATTACTTTAAATTTTTAAATTTTAAATTATATAACTTTTGAGATCTGCTTTACATAAAAGCAAGTCTGCATATTTAAAGATTTAAAATTTGATGGTTTTTGACATATGTAATACACCTGTGAAAACACCACTTCTGTCAAGGTACAGAACCTATTACACCCAAAAATTAGCCTGTGTCCCTGTGCAATCTATCCTATTTCTGTATTCTAAGCAAACATTAATCTGCTTTCTGTGATTATGGAATAGTTTGCATTTTATAGAGCGTTAGATGAATAGAATCACAGTATGTACACTACAGTATGTACTTTTTTTGGTCTGGCTTCTTTCACTCAGCTTGTTTTGAGATTTGTTGGATCTATCAGTTCATTTCTTTTTATTGCTGAACTGTATTCCATTTATAGCTGTTTCACAATTTGTTTATTTTGTCATCTGTCAGTGGACACTTAGGTTGATTCCAGCTTTTGATTAGATCAAAATTTTGGTGAGTAGAGCTGCTATGAACACTTATATTCAGGGGGCACCTGAGTGGCTCAGTCTTAGGTTAACTGTGTGACTTTGACTCAGGTTATAATTTCATGGTTCGTGAATTCGAGCCCTGAGTCAGGCTCTGTACTGACAGTTCAGAGCCTGGAGCCTGCTTCCCATTCTGTCTCCCTCTGTCTCTCTGCCCCTCCCCCTCATGCTGTGTCTCTCTCTCTCTCTCTCAAAAATAAATAAACATTAAAAAATTAAAACATTTATATACAAATTTTTTGTGAGGGCATATGATTTCATTTCTTGGGGCGCCTGGGTGGCTCCATCGATTAAGCATTCAATTCTTGATTTCGGCTCAAGTCATGGTCCCAGGGTCGTGAGATTGAGCCCTAACGTTGGGCTCTGGGCTGGGCGTGGAGCCTGCTTGAGATTCTCTCTCTCCCTCTCCCCCTCCCTTGCTTGTGCTCGCTTTCAAGAAAATTTTTTTTGATCAGTAGAGCTGCTGTGAGCATTTATATACAGATTTTTGTGAAGGCATATGTTTTCATTTCTTTTGGATAAATACCTAGCTGGGAATGGAATGGAATGGAATGGTAGGGTCATTTGAATAGCGTATGTTTAACGTTTTAAGAAACTGTTCTCCAATACGGTTGTACCATTTTACATTCCTACCAATGGTGTATGAAAAGCTCCAGTTCCACTGCCTTGCCAATACTTGGTAGACCATTCTTTTTAATTTTAGTTATTCTAACGAATATTGTATGCTCCATAGTATGTGTTTCTAAATAATTTCTATAAAATTTCTAAAAAATTTCTATAAAATAAAGTAGTGCTGTTGTTGAAGTTGTAATTTGCATTTTCTGATGATTAATGATGTTGAACATCTTTTTGTGTGCTTATTGGCCATTCATATATTTTTGGTGAAGTGTCTATTCAAATCTTTGCCTTATTATTATTATTATTTTTTTGGAGGTTATTTGTCTTCTTGAGTAATAAGGAATAAGGTGTGTGGGGGGAGGGGGGAGCAGAGAGGGAGAGGGAAGTCCTTTGTCTCTTTGTCTGATACACAGTCTTTGAATGTTTCCTCCCAATCTGTGGCTTGCCTTTTTTTTCAGTGACGTCTTTCAAAGAACAGAAGGTTTTTGTTTTGTTTTGTTTTGTTTTATTTTGTTTTAAAAGAAGCTTTCCCTGTTTTATTTTTAACGTTTATTTAATTTTGAGAGAGAGAGAGAATATGTGAACTGGGGGGGGGGGGGGGGGGGGGGGGGGATAGAGGATCCAAAGCAGACTCTGTGCTGACAGCAGACAACCCAACGTGGAGCTCGAACTCACAAACCGTGAGATCATGACTTGAGCTGAAGTCAGACATTTAAGTGATTGTGCCACCCAGGTGTCCTGAGCAGAAGTTTTTGATTTTTGTGACGTCTGTTTTACATTTTTTTTCTGTAATGGTATGTTCTTCCTGTATTTTAAGAAGCCTTTGCTTACCTCAGCAGCATCACAAAGACTTTTTCTAGTATTTTCTTGTTGAAATCTTAAGAGTTTTAGGTTTTGCATTTAGTTATGATCATGAGTTAATTTTTGTGTATGGTGTGAGGAAAGGGCCAGTGATTTTAAAACTTTCTACTTCAGGGCCCCTGGGTGACTCAGTCAGTTAAACATCCAACTTCAGCTCAGGTCATGATCTTGTGCTTCGTGGTTTCGAGCCCCACATCAAACTCTGTGCTGACAGCTCTCAGGGCCTGGAGCCTGCTTCGGATTCTGTGTCTCCCTCTTTCTTTGCCCCTCCCTTGCTCACGCTCTGTTTCTCTCTCTCAAAAATAAGCATTAAAAAAAAAAAAAAATTTCTACCATCATTTTTTTCCTTTGCATTCTTAAAAGCTTATGGAAGAAACACATATTCCTGCTATATGATTTACATTACAAAAGCTGCTTCAGGGAAACTGAAATGTACATATCTTGTTCCCCAGAAAGATTGACTTCACTAGTGCTTCCAACACAATGAGGGGGACTTTATTAACTTGGCCACTGAAGGAGAGTTAGATTTTGACAAAATAATGGGAGCCCTGTTTATTGATTATGATGCAAATTTAGATCAGATTACTTTGAAAAAGTACATACTTGGTTTATAAAAATATCCTTGAGGGATTTTTGTTGGGGAAGTAGGGAAGGGTGGTATATACATGTGCATACACAGTTGTTCCTCTTTTATACACGTTAGTGATTTTCTTTTAGTTAACCATGAGAAAGAAAAAAGCAAACAACAAAGGATGTGTATGTCCATGCACTGGATGTTTCTCATCTGAGCTAATCGGAAGTGAGAAGGACAATGCTGGGTGGCTACAAATTGGGACCCAATGAGTTTTTCTGTTTACTACATCACTTGCCTTGGGGCATTTCTTCCTAATTAAGTTGGATAAACTTTTATGTATAACTTTTTCTTATCTAAATATTATTTGTGTATTTATGTTTAGCCTTCTTGGGGTTCAGTCTTCTTGGCTGTAAAATGAGGGGACCAAACTTGTTTTTCAGACTTCTTTCATTCTTGTGCTACCTTCATACCTTTAGCCAAGTCCACATAGTATTATGGTGGTGTTCTCCGAAGAGGTTTCTTTACACTGACTCCTCTTTTTACAAGGAAACTTTATGTCTCTGCCATGAATGGCAAATGGTATCTGATAAAAAGATAAATAATACATAGTAGATTATTCTGCCTATGTATCATTCAAGATCACTTCATGTGCCACCCGTGGGGAAACAGCCTATTCATGGATCTCAGTGGTTCTTTTCTGGCTTTAACAATTTAGTTTGCTGTCTTTGCTCATTTAATTGAGATTTCCTGTTAGAATTTTCTTGTGTCTTGGCTTCTACCATAAAACAGAGGCCAGTTTGATTTAACAAAGTTTGAACAGCTGTTTTTATAGGAATTTGCCATCTTAACCTACCTGTCTCATAGATAAAAAAAATTTATGCTTTGATTTCCATTTGTAAAAAAGTGAACATGCATGATAAATGTGATGGACTCTTAATGCTGAGCATTGGCTTAGAAGGAGAACTTCACAACTGAAAAATTACATGGTTTAGTGAGCTAAACACGGAAAAATAGTCATGAGCTTAAATGGTAAAGGGATGAGAGTCTCAGACATTGTTCGGGGACCAGTTTTTGTACCACCTTTTTATCTTTTTTTGTGAGCAGTGGCACAAAATGGAGCATCGACAGTCCAGCTCTCTGTAACTGAATTTAAAAACATGTTAGTTTTTTGTCTTTTGTTTTTTTAACAACCTAAAATTTGTTTTTAGATTTCTTCAGAGGCCCCACAGTATCAAATATCCGCCTGGCTGGTTTAGAGTATGTTCTGCACTTCACTGCACTGAACGGGAAGATTTACTTTCGAAGCTACAAGTGAGTGCATTTGTTAGTATACTCTTGAATCCAGGGCTACAGCACTTTAGTGTGACTTTTATAGAGCTTGAACTTAGAATTGGCGTTTGGTCCGAAGTTTGTCTGGAGAGTTGGCAGACAAGCAGTGGCAGGCACAGCAGCTCTGTGCTGATCCTCAGATGTGTCATCCCCCTGCTCACGTCTGCCTCTGAAACCCTGCTTTTCCAGGGCCCCAGAGCATCTGGTGCTGCAGTCCTCCGAGCTTAGAACACTAATTCATTGTGCAATATCTCCTTCTTTTTCTTGACTGGATTTAGAACACCGAGTCACAAGTCTTAGACCAGCCAAAGCAAATCTCAAAACTCTGAGTCTTCTGAGCCTAAAAACTGGAGTCTGAATGGAACGAGCACATTCAGTGGCTCTTTTACCCTCTTCAGCCTAGCCCTTCTACCCCTACCACAATATAAATACGAATCCTAACGCTCTGGTTTTATTTTCATTAAAAAGCTTAATGACATGCTACAATTGTGCCTTTTGAGATAAGCATGATTTTTTTTTCTTATTTATAACAAAGTGTTGGCCCTGGCTGATCAAGCCCACACTTGCCTAGAGAATATATTGACTTCCACAAGCTGCCTTCCTTTGTACATGAAAGACCGATGCTCGTTTGTTTTTGAGCTATGGTATGGAAGTGCAGCCTGAGAGCCACTGACAGTTCAGTGTTGACAGTGACTTGTGTGCCTTTGTGCTATACATGCAGCCACTTGGGGACTTCAGCATTTCATCCGTGGTTTAATTTTTTTTTTTTTTTTTTTT